GATTGAAATATTCTAGAATTATAAAATGACCAAATTACCCCTGGAATGGAAATGACTCAAGAATGTCACCAAGCTCAAGAATGAATGGATATACTCAAGCTTTGAAATGAATAGAAAAAAATGTTAAGCACCAAAATGACCAAAATGCCCTTATGACCTAGAATAAGTAAATGTCTTGGAATAATTAAGAAATCCAAATAAACATGGATGTTGTGCTACCAGTAAAAGTTGTGGAACGCAACTTAAGTGATTAACCAACGTTAGTACTATATTATTACTTGAATGATATAAGTATCACTTGAATGTTTGTTCATCTTCTCAAATTTGGATCGATGATAATTCTGGAAGTACTTGGGGCAGCTCAACTCTAGAGCGCATACAGTATTAATAAGTGAGTAGTCGTTAGTCAAATCAACCACGAATACCAGAATGACTTTATTATATGAATAAATTGAAATGAAATGAAGTATAACATGTATTTGAAATTCAGAAACGTCTGAATTATTCTGGAAAACTTTAAAGTAATCGGGATAGACTTGCTTACCAACGAACTAAGTAACATCAATGACTAAGGATTAAATAGGTGATTTGATGATTTGGAAACACTGTTGAACTTACATGATGAATTGTCATTATGGGTTATGAGCCATGGATCAAGTACGTCAGTATTTCCTGATATTGTTGAAACGTGGAAATGAAATAAAGACCGTTGGAAGATTTATTCAGTGATGATTATGGGGATGATCTATGGATCTGCACTATGGTATTAAAGAGTGAATACACTGGAAGGATAATGAATTGACTTGTTGACATGCATCAGTTTGAGAGTTGGGTAACTCGAGTTGTTTGATAATATGATCTATAATCGTAGATTGTAAATGACTTGAATCTTCGATTCTATATTTCATCTAAAAGCACTTCGGTCATGTTTGAAAAAAAAACAAGTAACGCAGATGGAAAAGATTCTGATATCTCATTTGGTTCAATTGGGCTGAAATCCTATGAATTTAAAGTATATTCCTGAATACCCCTGATTGTTTGGGTAATGGAATCACTCGCAGTAAATCTGAATTTAGAATTATTATGTATAAATGTTCCTGAACGTTTTCCTAAAGCACACGAAAATATAGTGGGATTCTAATGTATCAACATTAAATGTCTGGCTAGATCGGTTAGTAATCGATTCTCCTCAATAGGACCTTGTTCCAGGAATTCGTTCAAATTTCATAAGTTTCATGTTATCCAAAATGATAACTACAATGACCTCTGGAAATACTTGGATTCTCTAGTGTGTTCCCTACTTATTACTGAACTGTTTTATTGGATTTAATATGTGGTACACCGAATTCATTGGTTATTGTTTTATGGATGCACCAATTTAATGTGACAATTTATGGAATATGGCTGCTATCTAATTTTTGTTTTGAAATGGTATATGATTACCATGTTTTTGGATTTATGGAATTTATGTCACGGTGCAATTGAATTTTGGAATTGAATTACGATGGAATAGCTCTGATCAAGCTAAATGGGCCTAATGTGACTCTTGAGGGCCCCAAGATGTTTCATTAGGTCGGCTTTCCTTTGCTGTGTGCTTAGGGTAAGCTATATGGACTTATTGACTTGGGCTTAAGGATACAAGCTTCATAGCATATCCTTAAGTCGGCTTTCTTTTTGCTATGTGCATAAAGTAAGCTATATGGAAAATAATTTTTGGGAACTACTGATGGTGTACCAGAAAAGGGTTTAAACTATGATTTTCAAAAGTTAAACTCTTTTACGAAATTGTGAGATTTACTGGACTATGATTTGTACTTATTATGATTTTATTATACTGTTGGAACACACTAGACATTCTATTCGATCTCCTGAAAATGTCATACTTTGAAAGGTTTCTTATGAACTGAGATTCATGGCTTCTACTCGATGAACTACTAATGGAACCCCAAATTATTCCGCAATTGGTATACGTTGGATTCAATAAGGAAATTATGGCTTCCCATTTATCTGCATGTCATGTAGCATCATTTGGTAGTTCTGTATTACTGAGCTTTCCGAAGCTCACTCTATTACTCACCATTGCAGGTTAAAAGAATTGTACCAGTGCAGCTATCGATATCAATAAGAGAGTTCTTCCGGCGTTGCTTACAGGGTATGGTACATGTGATTAGGGGGCATGTAATTGTATTTTGTTTTATTTACAAGTCTGAAAATCTGTTTTATTTCTGAACAATGATAAATCAATTGGTTAGTTACATGTTTGAATAAAAGTTTTAAATTTTCAGCGATTTTTACAGTGGGTCGCTCCGGTGGCCCTAATGTGACACTCCAGATCAGATCGGGTTATCCGCATCAGTCTGAGGGTGTTACAAAAAGTCTTTGTGGTGAACTGTGAAAGTTTGAGGGATTGAGTGGGGAGCTTCAAGGGGTTGAAAGAAAGCGGTGAAGAAGTAGAAAGAAAAGTGAGCCTTGGTTTGGGTGAAGAAGGGTTTGGGATTGTTGAAGAAGGAAACAGAATTGCAGAGATCGATGACACCGCCATTGCAGATTTCAAGCTTTGGATGGGGAAGAAAAGAAGTAAGAGATATGAAGGTAAGAGCAGCTGAGCGTAGTTCAATTCACAAGTTCACCATTGTTATCCAAGAAGGTTTTTTTCTTTTTATTTTGGATAAACTACACATGTAGTACCTACACTATTCCTTTTCTTCTGGTTTGGTACCTAATTTTTACCTTTTTTAAAAAAATAAAACCTAACATTTAATTTAGATTTTAATTTAGTATTTCACCATTAAAAATTTAACAATGATGTTAACGTGTTATCGTAAGCATCATAAGATAATACCACGTCATTATTGAAAAAATAAAAAAAATTATCACGTCAATAATTTTGTTAATTTTTCCATCTTTCTTTCTTTCTTTGCCCTTTTTGCGCGTGCGTAATATGATATATCACATGTAATGTTTTGAAAGTGATGATATTATATATTCTACGTGTAAAAAAATATGTAATACATAGTATATATCAAAATGAGGATTTGAATATATCACATGTCGAAAAATACGTAGTACATATTGTCGACTTTACGCTCGACTCGAGGCTTAGTCAACAGCGAACAGAAGAAGGCAAAGCAAGCAGTTGTAGTATGAGCTTCTTGGATTCTTCCGGGAAAACAACTCCATTTCATTTTCGATCCAATTTCCACCCCTAAAGTAATCGTGTTTAATTTACTAAATAGCTTAATAACATTCTATTAATTCTTTTTCTTAAATCATTAATTTTATCCAAAATAAAAAAAAATATTTTAAATTATTGAGTATCTTTTTAAAAATAAATCCGTTATAAAAGAAATGTCAATATTGAAAAAATAGATTAATTTATGTATTAATATGGTGATACGTTAAAGTATTAATGTGTAAAAAAACACATTTGAATATCATCAAATTTTTTAAATATCATAAAATATTTTAAAATAATATTTAGGGTAAAGTATAGTAATGGTCACTGAACATTTATGAAGCTTGCATTTAGGTCCCCCAACTTTTAAAACTTACAATACAGTCCCCCAACATTTATTCTGTTTGCAATATGGTCCCCCAACTTAAACCACTGTTGGAAAATTAGGGTAAATTATATAAACGGTCATTGAATTTTTCAGACACTTGAATTTAGGTCTCCCAACTTTTAAAACTTGCAAAACAGTCCTCAATTTCATTATAAACCCCAATTTCCAAAGTAATTCAATTTCATTCTAAACCATTGATTCTACTAAATCATAAATGATCACTGTATGAGCAAATTCAGGTAAATCATAAATGATCGCACTGTAAAGCACTGAAGGGTTAGGTGCTCAAATCTGATAAAAAAATAGCATGCAAGAACATAGTGGTACTTAAATCATAATGCTCCAAATGAGTGTTCCGAATTTCATATAGTCAAAAGTTGAAGAAATGAGCATAGTTTATGGGAAGTTGAAATACCGAATAGAGTGCTTCCATTTTGCTATTCGGGATGTTTAATCAATGCATATTGTTATTCAAAATTGATATAAACAGTTAAATAAACCTCAAATTTATATTGAAATAAATATTGTCAAATAGTAAATTCATGTTCAAAATTTAAAAACACCTTAATTTCATTCTAAAACCTAAATTCCAAAATAATTCAATTACATTCTAAACCTTAAATTGAAGTATTTTAGAATTTGAGGTTTAAAATTGAATTGAATTATTTTGGAATTTAGGGTTTAGAATGAAATTGAATTACTTTGGAAATTGGGGTTTAGAATGAAATTAAGGAATGTTTTGTAAGTTTTAAAAGTTGGGAGACCTAAATTCAAGTGCCTGAAAAGTTCAATGACCGTTTATATAATTTACCCTAATTTTCTAACGGTGGTTTAAGTTGAGGGACCATATTGCAAACGGAATAAATATTGGGGGACTGTATTGCAAGTTTTAAAAGTTAGGGGACTGTATTGCAAGTTTTAAAAGTTAGGGGACCTAAATGCAAGCTTCAGAAATGTTCAGTGACCATTACTATACTTTACCCTAATATTTATCCAAATTTTCTTTATATATATTTATAGATGCAACGGTTTAAATTTTAAATTATTGAGTAACTTTGTGGATTTTACCCTAGACTCGAGGCCTAATCAACAGTGAACAGAAGAAAACAAAGGAAGCAGTTGTAGTCTCAGCTTCTTGGATTCTTCCGGGAAAACACCTTCATTTCCACCACTACACGCTTTCTTCCTTTGGTATTAATAATTATACAGAAATTGCTGCCTTTGTTTTTGGAAATTGTTGACTTTACGCTAGACTCGAGGCCTAATCAACAGTGAACAGAAGAAAGCAAAGCAAGCAGTTGTAGTCTCAGCTTCTTGGGTTCTTCCTAGTCTCAGCTTCTTGGAAATTTCATCTTTTTTTTCTATTTATTGATGCTCATATATTTGGACTGTTCCTAGTTTCTTCCTGGGTATCAAGCCATCTATATTTCTTTGATTTGAACATTAGATTGAGACACCCTTTTCTTCCTCCTATAATTCGTCATGTTGCCGTTGCCTTCGTCTTCCTCGTCTATTTCCAGACACAAATATGATGTTTTCTTGAGTTTTAGAGGTGAAGATACCCGCAGAAATTTTACAGGTCATCTCTATGATGCTCTTCAACGCAGTGGAATCGTCACTTTCAGGGATGACCCCAAGCTGGAGGCCGGCAAAGAGATTGCCCCAGAACTCTTTAAAGCCATTCAACAATCATGGTGCTCGGTTATCGTTTTCTCCAAAACCTACGCCTTTTCAAGTTGGTGTTTGGAGGAGCTTGCTGAGATTGTTAAACAAAAATTGGAAAAAGGTCATAAAGTATTTCCAATTTTCTATGACGTGGATCCGTCTGATTTGAGAAAACAAAAGGATAAAGTTGGAGAAGCATTTGCCAAACACGAAGAGACATACAAGGAAGATCAGCACAAGATCCAAAGATGGCGAAATGCTTTGACTGAGGTTTCTAACATCAAGGGATGGCATTTGAATAACAAGTAATTCATTCTTTTCTTTCTTTGATCATTTATTTCATGGTCATATCTGTTCATTTCTTAAATGAATAAAAAAACTAAATTTAATTTCTATTGTAGGCTTGAATCTGAATTTATTGGAGATATTGCTAAAAAAATCTCTGCAAAATTATGTCAAACATATCCAATTGTTCATGATAAGTTGGTTGGAATTAGTTCCCGTTTGGAGGAGTTGTATTCAAAAATCGATGTTGGAGAAGATGATGTCCGTATTATAGGAATATGTGGAATGGGTGGCATTGGTAAAACCACTCTTGCAAGAGTTGTTTACAACCAAATGTCATCTCATTTTGAAGGCAAAAGCTTTCTTGCTGATGTTCGAGAAGTTTCAAACAAATTCGGACTTGTTTCTTTACAGAAACAACTTCTTACTCAAACCTTGTCTGAAGGAGGATTCAGTATATTCGATGTTGATGAAGGAAATGCAATCATCAGTCATAGGTTGTCTCACAAAAAGGTTCTTGTTGTTATCGATGATGTTGATAACAGAAAACATTTGGAACACTTGGCTGGAAGGCGTGATTGGTTCGGTACAGGCAGTAGGATCATTGTAACAACAAGAGATGAACATCTGCTCCGATTTTATCGAGCTGATTATGTGTATAAGCCTGCGACATTGAGTCCCAATGATGCACTTCGGCTTTTTAAATTGAAAGCTTTCGATAGTGAGACAGTATTAGAAGGTGTTTTCATTGAGCTTTCTAAACATGTTGTACGCTACGCTGGTGGTCTTCCCTTAGCTCTTGAAGTTTTGGGTTCTTTTCTGTGTGGTAGAGATGCAACTCAATGGAGAAGTTCAATTGAAAGACTTAAACGAGATTCCAACAAAGAAATTCTTGATAGACTTAGAATCAGCTTTGATGGATTGGAAGAAAGGGAAAAGAATATATTTCTTGATATCGCATGCTTCTTCAATGGGGAGGAGAAAGATTTTGTAACCAAAGTGTTGGATGGTTGTGAGTTTTTCCCAGATATTGGAATCGATGTTCTCGTTAAGAAATCCCTAGTGGCAGTTAAGGGAGACAACAGATTGTGGATGCATGACTTGCTACAAGAAATGGGAAGAAAAATTGTTTGGGAAAAATCTATTGATGAACCTGGAAAGCGTTGCAGATTGTGGGATGAAAGGGACATCCAACATGTTCTAACAAAAAAAACTTAAGTCATTCAATAAAATTAAGTCTTCCTACGTACAAAAGTATACATAATATTTTGAATATTCGATCGAGTAGGATGAATATATTTATTCATTATATTGCAAAACTATGTCATTTAAAATATTTTTAGTTGATTATAAATGTTATAAGGATTTGAATAAGTACATAATTTCAGTAAATCATTCTCATAGGAAAATGTTATAATTTGTTTAAAGATTATCATAGGTGTAAATGGTCAAAAGTTTTATCATGCAGTTTAAACCATTCATTCTGTCTTCTTATACTCTGTTCTTGATTACATGTAGGCCACGGAGGTGATTGAAGCCATGATCATCGACAATCAACGGTAGGAAAACATGGGTATTGATTTTAACGTTTTTCCATGGATTCGAAGAGTTCTTGAAATATCATATTACAATACTCTAATGCGTCAGATACAAGTATCAAATACGGATGATTGAAAACACAGTAATGGAGCAACATAGCTTTTAGGTATTGGATTTGTTTTTGCATAGTTTGAAGCTCATTTTTTTGTTTTTCTCATGGTTATCAGGGAATCGAACAAGACATTCAATTTGAGTGTCGATGCCTTCTCGAAGATGAAAAGATTGAGATTGCTCAAAGTTGTTTGCCTCTCAAATTGTGATGGTCTCAAATATCTTTCTAATGAGCTACGGCTTTTAGATTGGAAAGGATTCCCTTTAAGATCTCTGCCCTCAGGCTTTCAACCGGACAACCTTGTTGCACTTCTCTTACAATACAGTCGCATTGAACAACTATGGAAGGGAACCAGAGTAAGAATTCATTCTCTAATTTTAAGATGAATGAATAAAATTTGATTATGATAGAGACAAAAATAACAAGAACGAGCTTTCTTATGTTTTCTCTTTTCTCTCTAATTTATTATTGTTTTCAACAGCCCTTGTACAAGCTGAAAGTGTTAAACCTCAGAGAGTCCCCGAACCTGATCAAGACTCCGGACTTCACAATGGCCCCAGATCTTGAAGTTCTGATCCTGGAAGGTTGTACAAAAATAGTTGATGTTCATCCATCCATAGCAGAGCTTAAGAGGCTTCAAAATTTGAATTTGAGAGGCTGCAAAGGTCTTAAGAATCTTCCAACCAAAATTGGAATGGAATCTCTTCAAACGTTCATTCTCTCGGGTTGCTCAAATCTTCTTTGGTTTCCAGAGATTGATTGCAAAATGGATTGCCTAAAAACTCTTGATCTTTCCGGATGTTATAGAGTTGGATTTTTGCCACAGAGTTTGCAGCTAGCAGAGTTTTTGGAAGAGATTGACTTGAGTGAAACGGCCATAACAAGACCACCGTCCTTCATTTTTCGACTTAAAAATCTTAAAGTTTTGTCTTTCAACGGCCGCAAGGGATCTTCATCTAAGTTTCGACAAAATTTGCCTTCTCTCTTCAAAAAATTCCAAAGAGGAAAGACAAATTCAATGGCTCTGATGTTGCCTTCGTTGTCGGGTTTGAGTTCATTGACAGAGCTGAAACTAAGGGACTGCAATCTTTGTGAAGGAGATATTCCTAATGATATTTCTTGTCTATCCTCTTTGGTAATGCTCAATCTCAGTGGTAACAATTTCATCAGCCTACCTGATTCTCTTACTCGACTTTCCAAGCTTAAAGGTCTTGCATTGATGAATTGCCGGGGGCTGAAATCGTTGCCTGAGCTTCCAACAAGTGTAGAATATGTGAGCATAGATGATTGTGCTTCTCTGGAACTAATTGCTAATCCATCAAAAGTATGCGATTCAAGGGATTGTGTGTCTATTATAGGTACTCACTACTTTCAATTTTTTAATTTACCCACTAAACTTTCAAAGTATTCCAGTTTTGATCACTCTGAATTATTTTATTATTATTTTTATATGACGTGACATTTTTTTTATTATTTAATTTAAAATAATTGAAAATATAAAATAAAAACAAAAGGTGGTTGGACACTACTATCGATCGCCGTAGATTGTGGTCGTTCGGTCTCAAATTTCAAGAGACTTGTTCGTCTTGACACCTTGATTCCAAATTCATCCTCCATTTTATTGGAACTTGCTCTGGAGTCCACGAATTAGAGATCGAAGGAGAGGAAGCCGAAATATTTCAGACGAGATTCATGAGTTTTGGGACATTTTCTAGTAAAACAACAACCAAATTCGAACTCAGGAATTGAAATGAATAAGATCCATGAAATATGAGATCGAAGGATCACCATCTACAGCTGTCGATGGTAACCGGCCTTTACCAATCATTGGTAAAGAAGACTTACTACCCCTATCAGTTGGGTCTGGTTGGCCTAGAATGTTCCGCTCCGAATCGTTATTATCTTTCTAGGTGTCTTCTATTGCCTTTGTCTCATGCTGGATTCGACTGACGCGATCGGAAACTTGTCTCTAAATACATTATATTTTGATCTTGATTTCTGGTGATTATGCAGGAAATTCTTATTCACAATTCCTTTCACAGGCAGCACCTAAGCAGAAGATTCGAATTAAACATAGGTCATACTGGGTACCCTTGATCGAGGACTCTTGCAAGCAGATTTTGGATGCCGCTCGTACTACCAATGCCAAGACGATGGGACCCGTGCCGTCACCGACCAAGAAGAGGATCTATTGTGTCCTTAAATCCCCACATGTACACAAAGATGCAAGGTTCCACTTTGAGATTCGGACACACCAGCGCCTATCATTATCGAATTTGAATGATATCCGTCTCTTCTAGATATGAGCTCAATCATAATTACTTATAAGAGGAACCAAGTTATTAATGTTGAGCACACAGGGAGAAAGATAGATCGAAGCACATTAGAGTGAAAAGAGAGAGAAAAAAGATAGGTGAAAGAAGGAAAACAAAGAGAGAAAATGATAGAGAAACATAAGCAACTTTAAGAATAAGCCAGAGAACAACAACATAAAGTATGTATCATTTCAGCTATGAAACCTAAGTCAACATCAGTTAGTGGTCAAACCCTTGAGAATTTTTCGTTCAGACAAACCTTTTGAAGTATGAATTGTACTTTGATTTTTAGTTACAGAGGATTCCAGTCTCTGCTGTTGCAGACGATTGAAGTTTCTGCTGCAAGTTTCCTCCATTGTATATGTGATCAAACCCTTAAGAATTTTGTCGTTCATTGATCACCTGAAGTTAACTTGTGTCAGGTACGCGAGCTGGCTGAAAAAGACTCTGAAGATGGTGTTTTTAAAATGCTTTCCAGTGATGTAACACGCTTTCTCACAACCATTCTTATTGGCACTACGTACTCTTCTTTTCTTGCCATAACCTTGACCTGTTCCATTTTCCTTTTGCAGCTTTAGCTTGAATGTATTACTTATTGTGGATTTAATTTCGCTACTCAGGGCTGTCAACATTGGAGCAACTGCTTTAGTGACAAATGCTGCAACATCAATGTTTGGGGAAGCTGGAGTAATGACCGTATGTATCAATAACTTGTTTTTAGATTTGGATTTGGGGTTGTATTTGTCGTATGCATGCCCTCGTTTTGTCTTTCGTGTATCTTGATTTTATTAGAAGTCATAAAGATGAGTTGTGGTCGGACTCGGTTAGCACATGAATATATAACATATCTACTCGTGCAATAAATTTGAAAGCCAGTTACCTTTTCTTTTATGATGCTAGGTTGCCATTTTGCTTCTCACTGAGATTACTCCAAAGAGTATAGCTGTTCACAATCCCACTGAAGTAGCCAGATTTGTGGTAAGCCCCCTCCCCCCCTCTTTTTCTTCATTCAAAAATAAAATAAAATCATTCAGGGAATTGAAATTTCATCACTATCCAGATGAGTGTCAAAATAAAATTGTCCAACTAACTGTGGTTAAAATATTTCTAGGTCAGGCCAGTGGCATGGCTCTCTGTAATACTATATCCAGTTGGACGACTTGTGACATATTTATCAATGGGAATGCTCAAAATTCTTGGTCTAGAAGGAAAGAGGTTAAGAAAAATAGTTACGTGGATTTAACCTATCCACATCATTTAAGTCCCCATGCATTATCAGCGTCTTTTGCAATGGTCTGTCAAAATTTCAACGTATGTCATCATTGTGTTATACGGCTTCTAAATGCCTTATTCCTTGTCTCTTTATTTTAGCGAACCTTATGTTACCGAAGATGATTTGAAGTTAATGTTACGAGGGGCAGGGTTGAGTGGAGCAATAGAGGAGGAGCAGGTAACCATATATGTCATCTATATTATAAGTACAAACGAATAATTTTGATTGAGCACTTGATTAGCCCAAAATTTTATCTGCAATGGATATTTTTCTGTTATCTCCTCTTCTGTAGCAGTAGACCAGTGGTTCTTTAGTGAACCCAAAATGAATAGCTCCACCTTAGCTATCCGGTACAATGCCTACGGACGGGCATGCTGCAATTATTGCTCTCTATTTTGCATAAATCTAAACGAATCATCCATTGGTTCTTCTTTCTTTGTTTGGTTCTGGTGCTCTTACCATTGGAATCTCTTGCAGGATATGATTGAAAATGTATTAGAGATAAAAGATACCCATGTTCGAGAGGTGATGACACCTCTTGTTGACGCAGTCGCAATCGATGCAAGCTCAACTCTTGTTGAGTTCCACAATTTGTGGCTGACTCATCAATATTCAAGGTAGATAAGCTTAGTAGTTAGTAATTCATCTTTTAGCTGTTTTTCCTTACGAAACAAGCTAAGAGATTTGTTGAAATCATTTTCTCAGGGTGCCTGCTTTTGAGCAGCGGATTGACAATATAGTAGGTATCGCATATGCTTTGGACCTACTAGATTACGTTCCAAAGGTGAGACGATTTCTGCTCATAATATTTTTATAATATTTTTTCTTTATTTCATTGGTAAGTCTTTGCTAATTGATGCATGCAACATTATCATAGTGTGCAGAATTATGATCTGTTTGATTTTGAAGGGTGAACTGCTAGAAAGTACTACTGTGGCAGATATGGCTCATAAACCTGCATACTTTGTGCCCGGTAATTCTGTTGGATTCATACTTTGCAACATGTGCCTATAGATTATATTCTGAGAAGCCAGTACAATTAGTATTCTCAATTTGTTTTGCAGATTCAATGTCAGTCTGGAATCTCCTTAGAGAGTTTCGAATCAGGAAGGTTCGCATGGCTGTTGTTCTTGATGAATATGGTGGAACAGTTGGGGTATGTGGTCTACCTAATTTTGAATGATTTTGTATTTACTTTTCTACTCTTGAATGTTTCTTATCTGTTCAGAGTTTTTTTTTGGATAATTCAGATTTTTATTACCCAAAATAGCAAGGTTTAGCTACAACCAATCAACAAAACAAAAACAGTCTAATTACACAACCAATGATTGGCTAGACTATACCCCAAGCATTACAAATAAGTAAGTTAGTACTATCTAGTCGATTTATGGTTTTGCCCCTAAGACGAATTGCAACCACGTCAACAATTTCTTTAAGAATAACGTCAGTAGAACGGAATCGGCCCTGAAATAATCTCTGGTTCCATTCTTGCCACACGAAGTAGATGAGAGCATTCCAAGAAATCTTCAAAATGGTGGTTAAGAGGGACTTTCCTTTCCAAGAGGAACAAGCACGAGTTACCATATCATCCCAAGTCAAAGTAGAATAGTTCATTCCATTCTTGATAAGAATTGATTTTCATATACCAGCAGCCAAGGAGCAATTATAGAAAAGATGATCTCTGGTCTCTTGATGAGTGTTACAGTTTAAACAAAAACCATCTATTCAGAGTTTTTGCTAAAGACGCAGTTTTCATGTTTTATGTGGCATTATTTGATTTGTATGGCATAACTTAACCGGATTGCTAACGACATTAATATGAGATTGAAAATGGAAAAGTTTCTGCAGTTTGAAAAGTTGAATGAGCTGTCACAAATTCCTTTGTTAAAGACTACTTAGCAGGCAACGACTAGTAGTGCATTTCTTCTTGTCTCTCCTTTTAATTATTAGTTTTGATCGTTATTAACTTAGTTCCTTTGCTATAAACTTTATACTCCTAATTATTTACCTTTATTCAAAATGCTGCTTTTCATTATCCGCAATTAGTGAAACTTGCTTAAGAAATCCAACATTAGTCAAGACGATTATTACACCTCAAAATCTCTGCTCAATGGTTATATTTTCGTTTCTTGCTATAACAGGAGGAGATCCAGAAGAAAACCGGCTATATCGTAAAACGAGTAGAGTGTCATGAACTTGGGATTTTTCCCACACTTTGGGTTATGTTGGGCCACATTTGGTCTTGGAGGTTGATAGAATAGTGTAGATTATTCTAGAACACTCAAGACTTGTACATATTCTAGAAGCATTCTAGAGTCTTCCATGTTAGGTAGGAAATAATAGAGAATTCTAGAGAATCTCTCCCTACCGTAGGATCAAATCAATCTCCACCGTCCATTGAGGAGGTGGGATGCTATAAATAGGTGTAGAATCCTCATTTGTAAATCATCCAAGAGTTGTAAGCTTTCAAGCATATCAACAAGCTTTCTCTCAAAGTTCTTTCATTTGTTCTTTGTTTCCTTGCTAATCCTTTCCCACATTTACACGAGTTTGAGTGAGGCTGACTTAGCTATCGCGAGGGGCGAAAAGGAGCTAAGGCCGCACGAGGCTTATTGAGAGATTAAGTCCGTGACAGTTGGTATCAAAGCTGGTTAAAGCATCAATATTGTGCACGTGTCTTGTAGGAATGTCCGGGAACTCGAACGAGTCGACTATTACCGAGGGACGTGGGAAAGAAACTGTACCCACCAACCCGAAGAAGAGCACCAACGAGTCAACTATTACTGAGGAACGTGGGAGAGAAGCTGTACCCACCAACCAGAAGAAAAAAAGGGACCAGAGTAAGGCCCGCGAGGGGAACTCACTAGAACCAATGGTGGCAGAATTCGGGGAGAGGCTAGAGAGGGTCCAGCATGACTTCAAGACGCTGGAGGACCATGTCTTGGAGCAAGTTGACACGCTCAAGGGGAGTGTCGAAGAGACTAGCAATGAGGTAGAAGTTCGGTTCATACGACTAGAAGATATGATCCAATCCTTACGTGAAAGCATCGAGGGGATGCGGGAGGACGTGACGCTCTGTAAGAGAGCCGCTGTTAGCGGGAGTGCTAACATCACCATCTCCAACCCGAGGGTCAAGTGCCCCAAGCCGCAAGGGTTCAACGGGACAAGGGACGCCAAGGAAGTCGAAAACTACCTATGGCGGATGAAGCAATACTTCGAGGGAATCGACCTTAACGACGAGGCGGCTAAGGTAAAAATCGCTACTTTATATCTTTCCGATACTACTATGTTATGGTGGCGTAGGAAACATGCTGACATAAAGCGAGGGGCTTGTCGGTTAGAAACATGGGACAAGTTCAAGAAAAAACTCAAGAAGCACTTCTACCCTGAGAATGTGGTCTACGAGGCTCGCAAGAGATTGCGGGAGTTGAAGCAATGGGGTACTATGCGGGACTATGTAAAAGAATTCACAACCCTTATGCTTTAAATTCCCAATATGTTCGAGAAGGATCTCTTGTTCTATTTCATTGACGGACTACAAGGATGGGCCAAGTAAGAGATGCACCGTCGGGACATTAAAACGGTTGATGAGGCTATTGCCATCGCCGAGTCACTCGTCGACTTCCAACCTTACTCCTACACCAATGCGACGAAAAATAAAGATAAGTATCCAGCCAAAGGTGGGGGAGAACGGTGGGAGAATTACCAAGGCAACTGAGACCGATATCATCGAAGGCCACAAGCTAAAGAGGGAGATCGTGATCGACGTCCGGGCCGAAGGGACTATGAAGAGAAAAAAAAGGCCTTCGTTCCCAAAGGAGGATGCTTCTTGTGTAAAGGGCCGCATCCGATGAGTAGCTGTCCCAAACTTGGTTCATTGTCTGCCATCGTCGATCGTCAAGACATAGAGTCTCAAGCCGAGATGGGGTCACTCCAAGTTCTAAACGCCTTGAAGGCCAAGCCATTGACACCAACACCGAGTAATGGGCTCATGTATGTGGAAGCGGTGATCAACGAGAAACCGACAAGAGCCATGGTGGACACGGGAGTACCCACAATTTCGTGTCTAAAGACGAAGCCAACCGTTTGGGCCTAAAGTACACTTGGAGCACATGATGGCTCAAGACGGTAAACACACAAGCAGTACCACTCCATGGCGTGGCACGAGGGGTCGAGCTACGCTTAGGCACTTGGAAGGGCCAAGTGAACTTTTCTGTCATTCTCATGGATGACTTCAAGGTCGTTTTGGGGTTGGACTTTCTCTGACAGGTAACCGTTATCCCTATGTCTTCCTTTAGTTCCGTTTGCATCTTGGAGAAAGGGTCTCCTTGTATGATCCCCATGGTCGAGGCACCGAAAGAGCAAGGTCGAGATGCCACACAACTCTCGGCCATACAACTTGGTAAAGGCATCAAGAAAGGGGACATTACTTACTTGGCCATGCTAAAGGAAGATGACGAGATCAAGAAAACGGATGACCTACCATTGATCATCCGTGAAGTCTTAGAGGAGAACAAGGACGTGATACCGCCCGAGTTACCAAATAAACTTCCCCCAAGGCATGAGGTGGATCACAAGATCGAGTTGGAACCCGGTGCCAAGCCGCCAGCCTTGGCACCCTATCGAATGGCCTCACCCGAACTTGAGGAACTTCGAAGGCAAATCAAAGAACTAGTTGATATGGGAATGATTCGACCTTCTAAGGCATCGTATGGTGCACCGGTACTCTTCCAAAAGAAGCACAATGGGTCGTTGCGCATGTACGTCGATTACCGGGCACTTAACAAGGTAACCATTAAAATTCGCTACCCAATCCCTTTGATTGCCGATTTATTTGACAGACTTGGAGGATCCAAGGTGTACACGAAGATGGACTTGCAAAAAGGCTACTACAGAGTTCGAATTGCAGAAGACGACGAGCCAAAGACCGTATGCATCACCCGATACGGATCGTATGAGTGGTTCGTCATACCCTTTGGTTTAACCAATGCACCAGCGACGTTTTGCACGCTCATGAACAAGCTCTTCCAACCGTACTTGGACCAGTTCATGGTGGTGTACTTGGACGATATCGTGGTATACAGTAACTCCATTGGGGAACATGTAGACCACTTGAGGATTGTTTTCAAGATACTTCGAGAGAACAAGCTGTACGTCAAGAAGGAAAAGTGCACGTTTGCCACCGAGGAAGTACACTTCCTTGGACATGTAATCGGCCACGGGAAGCTATTCATGGACGGGAGCAAAATCAAAGCCATAACCGAGTGGGAGCCGCCGACCAAGGTAAGTGAGATGAGGTCCTTCCTTGGTCTAGTAAATTATTATCGTCGGTTTATACAGGGTTACTCGGCGCGAGCATCACCATTGATGGACCTACTCAAGAAGGGGAAGGTATGGGAGTGGTTCGAACAATGTCAGAAAGCCTTTGAGAATCTAAAGGTAGCAGTTAGCCAAGAACCTTTCTTGGCCTTACCTGACTTTACCATGTCGTTCGAGGTGCATACCGATGCATCTGACTTCGCTATCGGGGGAGTATTAATGCAAGAGGGGCATTCGATAGCATTTGAGAGCTGCAAGCTAAATGACACCGAGATGCAGTACACGGTGCAAGAGAAGGAGATGACGGCCATCATCCATTGCTTGCGGGTATGGAGGCATTACTTACTCGGCGCGCACTTCACCATCAAGACCGACAATGTGGCGACGAGTTACTTTCAGACCCAGAAGAAGCTATCACCAAAACAAGCTAGGTGGCAAGACTTCCTAGCCGAGTTCGACTACACGTTGGAATACAAGCCGAGCAAAGCCAACGTTGTAGCCGATGCCTTAAGTCGAAAGGCAGAGCTCACCGCGATCTCTCTAGCCAAGGGAACCGTGTTGGAGCGCATCAAGGAGGGCCTTGAACAAGATCCAATGACAAGAGAATTAGTAAAGCTCGCTGGCGATGGCAAAACCCAACGGTTTTGAGTAGAGAACGGTGTACTCTACAACAAGAGATGGCGAATCTATGTTCCAAAGTAGGATAACTTAAGGCGAGATCTTATCAAAGAGTGCCATGACACCAAGTGGGCTGGTCATCCGGGTCAAAAGTGCACTATGGCATTGCTAGAGACGAAATACTTTTGGCCCCATATGAAGGATAACGTGGAGCTTTACGTGAAGACTTGTCTTGTGTGCCAACAAGACAAAGTGGAGAACCGACAGCCGGCGGGATTACTGGAACCTTTACCAGTTCCCCAAAGACCTTGGGATGCGATCACCTTGGATTTCATTAGTACATTACCCAAGTCCGAGGGATACGGTTCGATCATGGTCGTCGTGGACCGATTTTCTAAGTATGGGACATTCATACCATGCCCCAAGGATTGCACTGCGGAGGAGGCCGCGCGAGCATTCTTCAAGAATGTCGTGAAGCATTGGGGCTTACCAAGGAGCATCATTAGTGATCGAGACCCTCGATTCACCGGACGCCTATGGACGAAATTGTTCAAGCTCCTTGGAACCGAGTTAAATTTCTCCACAAGCTTTCATCCTCAAACTGTTGGGCAGACCGAACGAGTGAACGCTTTGTTGGAGTGTTATTTGCGGCACTTTGTGAGTGCTAACCAGCGAAATTGGGCTAAATTACTAGACGTCGCTCAATTCTCTTATAACTTGCAGCGGAGTGAAGCCACAGGCCGGAGTCCGTTCGAGCTTGCGACCGGACAACAACCGCTCACGTCGCACACACTGACAATGCCACTTGACGAGAGTAAGAGTCCCAGGGCCGCCAAGATGGCTAAGTCATGGGAGGAGAACGCCAACATCGCCCGCACATGTTTGGAGAAAGCACGGAAGAAGTTGAAGAAATGGGCGGACGAGAAGAGGCGACATCGAGAGTTCTCCATTGGAGACTTAGTCCTTCTGAAGCTTTTACCACAACATTTCAAAGCTCTTCGAAGCGTTCACAAAGGACTAATACGTAGATACGAGGGACCGTTCCAAGTACTTGCCAAGGTGGGTAAAGTGTCTTATCGCTTAGACTTGCCAAGTACACTTAAGATTCATCCGGTCTTCCATGTAAGTATGCTCAAGCCATATCATACCAACAAGGAAGACCCAAGCCGAGGGTATTCGCATCGAGCACCTCCCATAGTAACCAAGTCTTATGACAAAGAGGTGGAAACGGTGCTCACAAGCAGGACGATCCGCAAGAGAGGAGTCCCATCGCGTACCGAGTATTTAATCAAGTGGAAAGGACTACCAGAGTCCGAGGCAACATGGGAACTAGCTGAAGACTTGTGGCAGTTCGAAGAACATCTCAAAGCGTACGAGGCGACGAGGACGACGCCAGAATAGGTGGGGGAGAATGTCACGAACTTGGGCTTTTTCCTACACTTTGGGCTATGCTGGGCCACATTTGGTCTTGGAGGTTGATAGAATAGTGTAGATTATTTTAGAACACTCAAGACTTGTACATATTCTAGAAGCATTCTAGAGTCTTCCATGTTAGGTAGGAAATAATGGAGAATTCTAGAGAATCTCTCCCTACCGTAGGATCAAATCAATCTCCACCGTCCATTGAGGAGGTGGGATGCTATAAATAGGTGTAGAATCCTCATTTGTAAATCATCCAAGAGTTGTAAGCTTTCAAGCATATCAACAAGCTTTCTCTCAAAGTTCTTTCCTTTCTTCTTTGTTTCCTTGCTAATCCTTTCCCACATTTGCACGAGTTTGAGTGAGGCTGACTTAGCTATCGCGAGGGGCGAAAAGGAGCTAAGGTCGCACGAGGCTTATTGAGAGATTAAGTCCGTGACAAGAGGATATCTTTGATGTTGATGCTAATACATCTATTGACCAACTTTCCGAAGATCTAAACATCAAAATTCCAGAGGTATATTACTTTTATAACTCATTATTATTGATATAATCCTCGTGCATAAATTTCATTTTATTTGTTAGCTTCTGCTAGTTTAGTAAGTATAGAAATGTCTATGAATATGCATTTAGATGTAAAGTGTCAACATATTTTGTTTTATAGGAACATCAATACGAGACCGTATCGGGTTTTGTATGTGAAATATTTGTATAGACACCCGTTTTTGTCCGGGTCGAAAAAATGTTATTAAATATTAGTATTATTATTATTATTAATTTTAATTATATATATTTTACAGGCCCAACACTTATCCAAAAAGCCCAATAAATTATGGAGCCAGATTACAAGTTACGTCCCAACTCAGCTGGATCCAACCCGACTGGAGGTGACCCGAACCGGCCCAGTACCAGGCCCGGATTTGACCCGACCCAATGTAACTAGGGTTTTCAAAACCCTCACTCACTCTCAAGTCAGCTGCCACCACCAATGACCATCCAGATTCCCACCGGTACCGAGCCACCGAACGAAACCATCACCGACGAGCCAACAAGCCACCGAGCCACCGAATATCGTCATCGCCCACGCCAAACATCACCTGCAAATCATAGCACCAAATCATCCACTAAAATAAAATAATAAAACAAATACCGGATATTATTTCTTATTCTTTAGCCATAATATTTCATGTGTATTTATTACTATTTATGTTGGTTTATTACATCTTTGGTCCTCAACAGATATTATCTCTTATTCTTTAGCCATAATATTTCATGTGTATTTATATTGGTCACTCTAATTTATACATTTTAAATTATTTCTATTTTTAGCATATAATTTTAGATATTTGTATTTTAATCCTTTAAATTTCAGTTTGTGTTATTTGGTCTTTAAAATTTCTGTAATTACTGTTTTAGAACTTAAAATTTCTGTTTGTTCCATTTTAGTTCTTTAACTTTCTATTTTTACTATTTTTGATCTTAAAGTTTTAGTTTTTCTCTATTTTAGTCTTTATAAATTTAAATACTTATTTTTGTTATTTGTATTTAGGTTTGTAATATTTATTGGTTTTCATTTCAGTCCTTTGAATTTCCTCCTTTAAATTAATTGATTCGAAGCAAATTAATTAATGTTCAATAATTGGATCATATTTTAATTTTATATTTGATTCAGGATTTCCATACGACAACGTGTAAGTGACACAGTACCAATTTTGGGCGTTGTGGGGATGTTAATCCTTCCCCACGCGTAACCGACTTCCGAACTCGTTTTGATCGAATCTTTGGTAAACACATATCAACTTTTTGTCTTTAAAAACGATTTTTCTTAAAAATTGTTTTAAAGACATTTTTAGGTATTCGACCTACCTAACTCAACGGTCAATGGCGACTCTATTCAAATTAATCCAAAATCACCGATTTTTCTAAAATTAAAATCATAACTGTTTTTAAAATAACATTTAATTGTTCCACCTGAAAACGGTTATGACAATTTGGATATATGCCAAGGACGGGTGAGAGTGTCAAAGTAGTGCTTGAAAGGGGCAATGAAGAAGATGATGATGAGAATTCCGAAGCTGCATCTGATCGCCAAAATCTGAAGGAAAGGCATCAAATATATAAACTTGAGGTACGGTTCAAACCTTTTCGAGATATTGCGTTCACACTGAACAATGTAATATTTTGAGTGTCGAAAATATCAGTCATTTGCGTAATAATTTTGTGCATATTGTCTTGGATGCAGATATTAGAGGGAAATGCCCGAAAAGTTAGTGCTGTTCGGAAGAACTATTAGATCCCACAGCAGTAACTCCGATGGTTCCGAAAATCGTCAAGAAGAAATGGGGCAGTGATGAAGACTCAAATAACGGTGATCGGGATGAAGATACATTTGAAAAAGAGCAACAGGATGACCTCTCGGATGATCATTATGTAATTGCTGATCATAAAGAGGATAATGAGAGCCCCAATGGTCAGTAATTGTATTACACTAATTGTTCTTTTTTTCTCTTTTGTCATTTCCCCTTTCTAATTTCGTAGAGCTTCTTAAGAAGAGGTGAAGATTTGTAAAACGGGAGTATCGAAACAACAATATAAATAGACCAACATTGTACAAATTTTCACAGAATGAAGTGTCAATGGTGCCCGGGGATAATGGCCTATTTACTTGATGAAGCTTCTTGATTGATAGTCATCCTTCTCGTAGAACCAAATGTCCGATCATCGGAAATGGTGTGAATCCTACCGAGTTTGTTCGGTGTACTTCGAAATGAAGGATGGTAAGCTACCTGAGATATAATCTCGTAGAACCAAAGGAATTGCCCGCCATGAGTTTTGCAGCAGCGTCTCTGACCTGAAGCACTCCGTAAGAACATCTATAACACTCAAGTCCACAAGCATACGGCATTCACACCGTGTAACCCGATTGCTTGGCAAGCTCGTTCGCTAGATAACATGTAACCACAATTAGTTGCCTCGATAAGAAATCAAACCATAACAACGTCGGCCGATGAATTAACATATTAACAACGATCTCCAAACCACCATTCGTGCTAATGACTCGATTTTTGTTACACACGTTTACAAGGAACCAAATGCATTTCAGAAACTAGCATCAGACCGTGGCGATGACCATAGTTCAAATGCCTATCACGGTGCTTAACCTACCATCTTCTTAATGAGCAGCACATTTTAAGCAATGAATAACCTGTCCTTGAAGACGAGGGCTCGAATTATTTGAACTATCATCAGCAATAAGATTACTAAGAATCTGTATGGTTTGGCTCAGTCTGGGGCTTGATTTGACAGCTTAGTCAATTAAGCGCTCCAATTTATAAAACCGTCTAACTCAAAAAAAATTAAATAAAGTTTAAATTATAAAATAAGACTTCAATCAGATTAACTCAAAAATTTTCAATTCAACTCGATTTTATCAAATACTCAATGTAAAGTGTTTTAGTGCATTCAAATTATAACCTCGTGTTATTACATTAGTAACAATGTTAATGCAATTAAGATAATTTATTTTTTAAAAAGAAGTTAATTATATGCAAAACTAAACATCGAACAGTTCGTTTCTTTTTGTTTCTTCAAAGAAGAGATAGTTACGCACAGAGCAAATATTTTTGTAATAAAAATGGCTACTTTGGATTCATCAAACTCGTCCGCCGAAACCGACATTGAAACAAACCCTAGCTCTGATCCTAATTCTTCAAAAGCTACAATCCCAGTTCCTCCTAATTCCAATTCCAATTCCCCTGCCGTAAGCCTCATCAATTTCGCAGGAGATTCCGCCGGCGGCGCTTTCATGGGCTCCATCTTCGGTTACGGTATCCCCCTTTTCTTTTTGAATTGATGCTTCATATCTCTTTTGTTCTGAAAAATATTAGTCTTTTATATTTGGGTTTTATTGGCATTGTTGATGTGTATGGTTAAATAACAAGTTTTTGGGATTTTTTAAAATCGAATTTTGGGTTTCTTTATTTTTGTTTTGATTTTTTGTTTACAGATCAATTTGTTTCCCTTTTAAATTTGGCTTTGTTTAAGGATTGCATTTTTTGGTCATGTTTTGTATGAGATGAAGCTTGGAAGTGGTGGATTAATTTGGTTATGGGAAAATGGTTGTAGTTGGGTTGGGAGGATCATATGAACTACTCATCCATATTAGTTGGTCAATAAGTCGAATACAGGCGGTTATACCAAAAAATGATAGTAGTTGAGTGAATGAGATGGTTATAATGTTGAAAAATTAAATTATGATTTATTATTATTATTATTTGAAAAGAAGCGTTTTGTATGATTAATCCGGCAGTTCATACAAAACGAGACGAGAAACATGGCCTTCGTTTAAAAACCTCTCTACACCTAATAGAGGAAAAAGAGTGCATCATGCCCGTCGAATCGAACGCACTATATGACAGCACTTACAAACACAATACATGGATTAGAATTATGATTTATAGATTGAATAATTTCCTTAAAACAAAGCATCAGAATTTGGATAACAGTGACTTGGGTTATCCCTTATTAGTTGGTCAATAAGTCGGATACAGACGGTTATACGAAAAAATGGTAGTAGTTGAGTGAATTAGAAGGTAACCCTAAACCCTAGGCTTAACTTAAAACCTTAAATTGATAACCATAAACCCTAACCTAAAACCTCATAACCTTTAAACCCTAACCTTGAACCTTAATTTTTAACTTTAAACCCTTAATTTGGGGTTTTAAGTAAGAGTATGATATAAAATGATGTAATTAAGCAACTTCGAGAGTTAAATTGATGCAAAAATATGATAGGGACGAAATTAATAAATTAAATACACTACAAGGGCAAAAAGGTAAAGTCTCTGCCTTTAATCTATTTTGCCCAATGCAACTAGTTCATAGATTGTTTTCATTGTCTTTCTCTTCCCAGGCCCCTTCATCTGGCAAACCTCTATTGTCTTTGAAAAGTAAGTGCAATAAAGGGTTCCAACAATATTACCATAAACCAATCAAGGGTTCTCCTCATCCAAGGTGAGTGCTGTCATCGAAGGTAGGGTGAGGGTGAGGTGAGAATTTTAATTTAGGGTCTAAGATTTAAGGTATAATTTGGGGATTTAGGATTTTATGTATAATTTAATATTTTTAAATATTATTTATATTATAATTCTATATAATATTAAAATATTAATAAAAAATGTCATTTTTTATGAAAAAATAATAAAATAATTCATGTCATCGTTGAGTGATAAAAAATTCAATCTATAAAATTTAGTGAGTAAATTGAAAACATTAAAAGTACAGTGAGTAAAATAGGAAAGAGAGTAAACTTCAGTGATGAATAGTGTAGTTTACCCTTAAAGTAGTCCACCTTGTAGACTTTACGCTAGACTCGAGGCCTAATCAACAGTGAACAGAAGAAAGCAAAGAAAACAGTTGTAGTCTCAGCTTATTGGATTCTTACGAGAAAACACCTTCATTTCAACCGCTACACGCTTCAACCGCTACACGCTTTCTTCCTTTTGTATTTAATAATTATGCAGAAATTGCTCAGAAACCTTTGTTTTTGGCAATTTGATCTCCATTTCTCTTCATTCTTGCTTTTTTACTTGGAGTACTGTTCCTAGTTTCTTCCTGCGTTTTAGGCCATATATATATATATATATATATATATATATTGATATTGAACATCAGATTGAGACATCCTTTTCTTCCTCCTATAATCTCCATGTTGTCGTTACCTTCGTCTTCCTCGTCTATTTCTAGACACAAATATGATGTTTTCTTGAGTTTTAGAGGTGAAGATACCCGCAGAAGTTTTACAAATCATCTATATGATGCTCTTCAACGCAGTGGAATCGTCACTTTCAGGGATGACCCAAAGCTGGAGGCCGGCGAAGAGATTGCGCCAGAACTCTTTAAAGCAATTCAACAATCATGGTGTTCGGTAATCGTTTTCTCCAAAACCTACGCCTTTTCAAGTTGGTGTTTGGAGGAGCTTGCTGAGATTGTTAAACAAAAATTGGAAAAAGGTCATAAAGTATTTCCAATTTTCTATGATGTGGATCCGTCTGATTTGAGAAAACAAAAGGATAAAGTTGGAGAAGCATTTGCCAAACACGAAGAGACATACAAGGAAGATAAATACAAGATCCAAAGATGGCGAAATGCTTTGACTGAGGTTTCTAACATCAAAGGATGGCATTTGAATAACAAGTAATTCATTCTTTTCTCTCTTTGATCATTTATTTTATGGTCTTATCTGTTCCTTTCTTAAATGAATAAAAAAAACTAAATTTAATTTCTATTGTAGGCATGAATCTGAATTCATTGGAGATATTGTTAAAAAGGTATCAGCAAAATTATGTCAAACGTATCCTGTTGTTCATGATAAGTTGGTTGGAATTAGTTCCCGTTTAGAGGAGTTGTATTCAAAAATCAATGTTGGAGAAGATGATGTCCGTATTACAGGAATATGTGGAATGGGTGGCATCGGTAAAACCACTCTTGCAAGAGTTGTTTACAACCAAATGTCATCTCATTTTGAAGGCAAAAGCTTTCTTGCTGATGTTCGAGAAGTTTCAAACAAATTGGGACTTGTTTCTATACAGAAACAACTTCTTACTCAAACCTTGTCTGAAGGAGGATTCAGTATATTCGATGTTGATGAAGGGAATGCAATCATCAGTCATAGGTTGTCTCACAAAAAGGTTCTTGTTGTTATTGATGATGTTGATAACAGAAAACACTTGGAACACTTGGTTGGAAGGCGTGATTGGTTCGGTTCAGGCAGTAGGATCATTGTAACAACAAGAGATGAACATCTGCTCCGATCTTATCGAGTCGATTATGTGTATAAGCCTACAACATTGAGTCCCAATGATGCACTTCGGCTTTTTAATTTGAAAGTTTTCGATAGTGAGACAGCGTTGGAAGATGTTTTCGTTGAGCTTTCTGAACATGTTATAAGTTATGCTGGTGGTCTTCCCTTAGCTCTTGAAGTGTTGGGTTCATTTTTGTGTGGTAGAGATGCAACTCAATGGAGAAGCGCAATTGAAAGACTTAAACGAGACTCCAACAAAGATATTCTTGATAGACTTAGAATCAGTTTTGATGGATTGGAAGAAAGGGAAAAGAATATATTTCTTGATATCGCATGCTTCTTCAGTAGGGAGGAGAAAGATTTTGTGACCAAAGTATTGGATGGTTGTGAGTTTTTCCCAGATATTGGAATCGATGTTCTTGTTAAGAAATCCCTAGTGGCAGTTGATGAAGACAACAGATTGTGGATGCATGACTTGCTACAAGAAATGGGAAGGAAAATTGTTTGGGAGAAATCTATTGATGAACCTGGACAGCGTTGCCGATTGTGGGATGAAAGGGACATCCAACATGTTCTAACAAAAGAAACTGTAAGTCATTCATTAAAACTAAGTCTTCAAAAATATACATAATATTCAGTAAATCACTCTAATTGGAAAATGTTATAATTTGTTTAAAGTGATTTATTTACTATATTCCGATCAAAAGATTATCGTAATGTTAAACATAGGTGTAAATTGTCAAAAGTTTTATCATGGAGTTTAAACCATTCATTCTGTCTTCTTATACTCTGTTCTTGATTACTTGTAGGCCACGGAAGTGATTGAAGCCATGATCATCGACAATCAAAGGTAGGAAAACATGGGTATTGA